CTAGAATGTAAACAAATGCTAAAAAATCGTTATTTTCATGGTTTTTCAGCGCTATTTTCACTTATTTTTGTTATTTGACGCTATTTAGACGAATAGGCAAGTTTTCCGAAGCATAAAATTGAAGATTTTCCGCCAAAATAGAAACTTCCCGATAACATCGGAAATGACGTTCTAACATCATTTTAAAATATTCGATATCTAAACCAGAAAGTGTTAGATAGAAATAGACTTATTTATAGAACAATCCCCCATTTCTCACCTCGGGGAAAGTCATAAAACAGTTGGGTGCTAATGACTTTGTGAAAGAGAAAAAGTTCTACACTTAGAAACTTCGAAAGAAGGGATTTGGCCTGTACTGTCCACGGGCCGCATAAACATTGATAGGGGGCCGTATGTGGCCCGCGGGCCGCAGGTTGTGCACCCTTGACTTATGTTTTCCTCTGACCACAGTGTTTTTATCCTTTCTCCCCTCTTTGTCTTAATTTATTCATTCCTTTGCCTTTTTATATATATATAGCATTTTACTCTGCTTGTAATGCTACTTTCTTGGATGTATCTGTTAAAACAGCTGCATGCTTTTTACTATTCCTATCCCTTGTTGCAGTGCTTCATGGACCAAATTTTGGTAGAGGTTAAACACAAGAAGTTTCATTACATTGATGAGCAGCAATGCTTCCTTGCTCTATCTTACATATGTCCTAACCATCCAAGGGAAAAAATAACATGTTTATATTACATAGTCTAATAGGCTACATTGGGCAAGGATCTAGATCATTATTAATTTAAGAATTTGTTTTATTTTAAATTACTGTTGTAATACCTAATTTAATTGTAGTCAGATCATTGAAAATATCAAACACTATATCAAATAGCTTAGTAATATTCAAATCACCTCTTACCATATTCTTTTATCAACCAATTTTTAATTAAATCAAAATAATTGTTTCTACACTGTCTGCATTTGACCACAACACATTCATTTATGATAAAATTAAGAGATATATGTACTGTATGTCATAGAGGTATGATGAGCATGTCTTGCCAACTGACTAAAGTAAAATCTATTGCTAGTATTACAACCAGCCCCAGTTTTCCCTATCTGAGATTTTAATTTAATTAGCATTTTATACTTTATTTGTAGACTATTATAATAGCATAATGAAAACTATATGCAAATAATATAGGCTTGAAAAACTCATACTCAATTGTAGTATTTTGTTCACTTCATAAAAATAAAATTTTTATTCTTTGAGATACTGTGTAATTATTTTTAGGCATATCTCAAAAAAAAAGGACAATTTAATGTCTAGCTTGAAGTGCCACCAGACAGAAGTGTGCTCAAAAGCTGGATTATCAAACATTATTATTAATGTTTCCAAACTTTAGGTTCAGTTTAAAACATTGTTTTGTACAATGGCATTTTGATGTTTAACTGGATAATTTTTTATTAATTTTATTATCAAAGATCTTAGAATAATAGATAGATGTCAGTCTTGTTATGCAAGTTGATGTTTAGCATTTACCTTTAAAATTTAACTTGCTTTACAAACTGCATATAATTCTGTTTATATTTTTTACTTTTTAAATCGATGCAGTTAGTATAATTATAATAAAATTTTGCATTAAAAATGACATTTTATAAAATGCTGATTGAATTAAAATAACAAATTAATGAAATTTCACTGATTATATTATTTAACATAATTCAAATTTTTTTACATGCGATATAATATATTATTTTAAATAAATTAATTTTTAATTATAAAACTATAATTTAAAACTGAATTTAATATGGTCTTTTCTATAAAAAAATTGTAATTAATATTACAGGATATTTGTAATACAGTGATTCACTCTGTTTAAGCTACAAAGAAATAAAGTATGTGATTGAAAAACATTTTAACAGCTGATTGCTAGTTTGTATATTAGAAGATTTTGAAATATATATATGTGTTCAGATATATTTGTGTATACATACATATATATGTGTGTGTGTGTGTGTGTCCATGTATGCACAAATATATCTGAACACAATAGAAATCTGATGATTATGAATTCTAAGCAATATGATATGTCATATATGCTGACAAATAAATCAACATTTTTAAGCCTGAAAAATCTAAACCAAGAAGTGACTTATTTGACAGGTAGGAAATTCCAAAGTTTTATCACACAATGGTAAGCAAATGACCCAGTGTTCCTAACAATTGCTGTGCATCACTTTGTGTAACTATAGCAGGTGTGCATAAATATTTCCATTCAAATTGACATTTAGTGAACTTGCATAACACAGAGGATAATATAATAATAAAAATTCATTATAAGTGAACACTATTTTGCTGTTTCCAACAACTGATGTGTGAAAAGTTTATTACTAATGCAAATGGCAGAGTTAAAGCAAGGCTTAATGTAGTGATTTGCTATCATATATCTATATCATATGTAATGATACTATCTTGGTATTATACTATGTATATTAAAATTTTATTACAGATGTTAATTTTGGTTTATGTTTATTGGTAGACTTGTTATACAAGAGAGTTGTTATTAAGATACTGAAGATTTTTAGTAATTGCTTAGTGTTCTGTACAGATGCTATTGTCCACATTTTTTTTGTATAAGATAAGCATATATATATATATATACTGTATAGGGTTCCTGCACACCTGGAAAGTCAGATTTTCATTAATGTTCAGGAAAAGTCAGGGAAAGTCAGGGAATTTGTTTCCTTAGCTACCTTGTTGATTTCATTTGCTGAATATGGCTGACCAAGCGTAGCCATCTGCAGGTGGCAAGAAGTAATGCTGCAATCTTTAATAAGAAAATGTACCAGAATCCATTTTGAAATGGCTTTTTTCACTGTTCTGAAGCCATATAATTTTACAGTTGTGGATTAATAACAGGTTAACACTGCGTAAGTCGCTAGGAATGGGGCCCTTACTTGAGTCGCATGGGTCTTTCAAACCCAGTGTTTTTAATATGAAATAATTAAATTTTATCTATCGCATAAAGAAACTACAGTTTCTTTGTTTGATTCTGCGCTTTGTTTTCTATCTAGTGATATAAATTACTTGCGTATTAACAAAATTAATTTTTTAATATTTATTTTTATGTAATTCGATACGAAAAACGCAAAAAAATAAACATATCAAATTTCAACTCGCTGTAATTTATCTCCCGTTTCACCGATTGCCATCGGGTTTGTTTGTAAGTGGGGAAGAAATATGACACTTTCAAGCGAAGTGAGTAGAACTTTTGCACTACTGCGAGAAAATTTGTCAACCGACCCCGCGTTACCCCCTACCGCGAAAGTCAATAAACGTTAATTGTTTTATGACTCTATTTTCAACACTTCTTTTCTGAGTTGTAAATCGACTAATTGACAAAGATTTTACTTCATTTTACTCATAAGAATGTTGTCTTTAT